TCTTGAATGCCTATCCCTAACCTGGCCCAGCATCAGCCACCCCGCCGAGTTCTCTAGACTACACTCTAATACAGCAACTAAGGGTGAATGTCTGGCACAGGGGGGTCTCCCAGGACCCTGCTTCAATGCTGTGATCTGAAGGCCTATCCAGTCTGAAGGGCTAGCATTCATATCATACTACTGATGACACTGCCACCCCTGTTGAAAAACACAAAAGGACACACAGATGCAAAGGATCACAGCACTGATATTTTATGCCCTCTCTTGTTCCCCATTGCTCCTTCACTTGGAATTTTAGGCCTTCCTATTTGGAGCCTCTTGAACAATTTGTGGTCAAGACAAATCAAAATGCCAGCCTTGCCCTGACCAGTGGGACTCAGTTGGTTGAGCATCCTCCCATGCACCAAGAAGTCACCAGTTTGATTTCCAGTGTGGGCACATGCTCAGGTTGCTCAGGTTATAGGCTCGATTCCCAGTAGGGGGCATGCAGCGGGCACTCTTTCACATCAATGTTTCTCTCTCTCTCTCTCAAAAAATCAATAAAAGCATTTTCTTTAAAAAGTAAAAAGAAACACAGAAAATCAACGCCAGCCTCTCTGTGCTGCTAAGCTACACTCCACAGTCCGGCAGCAGCTTCAGCCCTGCAGCACAGCACGAATGAGCCTTGAGCAACTGGCCCCCAGCATTCCACAGCTGTGCGGATTGAAAGGGGTTTCAGCCCGAGCAGCACTCACTTGGTGAACTTTAACACTGTGGTTTCCAGTGGTATGAATCCAGTATGAAACTGAAGCTGGAATATTTGAGTGTTGGTCACCTAAGGATACATGAGAGAAGCACATTTCAATCCATCAGGAGAAAGGGAATCAGATCAAAAGGTTATATTTTGAGGAGCCACGCACCTCCAACTGTTTCTAAGTCTGAACCTTTTTCACTCTGAATATTAAATGGCCTCCCCATTTGGAACGGGCCTACCTTTATTTCTAGCCTCACCTCTACATGAGCTCTGTCCAGGCAAGCCGTTTCCTCATCTGCGAATGACCCACGTTCTTGCCCTGCTATGCTTTGACTCATTCCATTCCTTCCAGCCAGCATACCCCTGCTCCAACCTGATAAACTCAACCTTCACAGCCTAGCTTGGATGGTCATAGCCCCTCTGTAGCCTTTCTGGGCCACCACTGACTAAACCGACTGCTCCCATTAGAGCATCTAATGCAACCGCTAATATGGCAGTGGACGTTTGTACATGTGTGAATTTCCCCTGCTAGGCTAAGTTTTCTCAAGGCAGGGACACAGTCTTATTCTTCTCAGTCCTAAACTCCTAGGCAGTGACTGGTACAGTGCATGCACTTAGCAAATATTTGATGAATTAAAAATGCAATTACTTGCAGTAATATCCCAAAAGTGGCAATCACCTGAATGCCCATCAACTGATGAAGAGATTAATAAAAAGCAGTATAGTCATATAATGGAATATTATTTGGCCATATAAAGGAATGAAGTACTTGGGTGGGTGGGAAGAGATCAACCACAGAACTTGTATGCATATATGTATAACACGTGGACACAGACAGTAGGGTGGCGGAGGCTTGGGGAAGGGGGTGGGAGCGGGCAATAGGGGTCAGTGGGAGAAAAAAAAGGACATGTAATACTTTCAACAATAAATATTTAAAAGTAAATGAAGAAATAAAAAGGGATGAAGTACTAATTCATACTACAACATAAATGAACTTCGAAAGCATTGTGCTTAGTGAAAAGAGCCAGTCACAAAAGACCATATGTTGCATGATTTTATTTATATGAAATGTCCAAAACAGACAAATCCATGGAGACCGAAGGTAGAATAATGATGGCCTAGGACAGTGGTCGGCAAACTGCAGCTCGCGAGCCACATGCGGCTCTTTGGCCCCTTGAGTGTGGCTCTTCCACAAAATACTGACTTCTGTGAATGGGCCAGGAAGTGTCAATCACATTGTACATGCGTACCTGCACGTGGTATTTTGTGGAAGAGCCACACTCAAGGGGCCAAAGAGCCGCATGGGGCTCGCGAGCCGCAGTTTGCCGACCACAGGCCTAGGGGATGGAGGAAGAGGAATGGGCAGTGACTGCTAATAGTATAGGGTTTCCTTTGGGGGTGATAAAAATGTTCTGGATTTAGACAGTACTGGTGTTTGCACAACTCTTTGAAAATACTAAAAGCAACTGCATTGTATGCTTTAAAAGGGCGAATTTTGTTGCAATAAAAAAACTGAAAAGAATATATAATCACTTAATCCCACTTCCTTAATAGAAATAGCCCTCCCCCACACCATGCTGATCCAAATGGGACACTGTAAAAAAGGCACAAGCTTCTAAAGAGCAAGGTTTGCTACAAGTTCTAGCGCTGCCACCTTCCAGCAAAGTCATCTGGGCAAGTCATAATCTCTCTGAGCCTCAGTTCCCTTCCCTGTAAAATGAGGGAGAGGGCATCAGCAATCTTGAACGGCTCCTTCTGATTCTAATACCATAAGACACTCAAGCCCAAAGTGATGTAGAAGAAAGACTGAAATACTCCCACTGAAGGCTCCAAGGAGCTTATGCCATAAAACCATACCTTGGCCTGTAGTCGACTCCCGATGGTTGACCTCAAGTGATACATGGAAACGACCACATCTCCTTGCACAGTGATGTTCAAGGGAATGAAGATTTTCCCATCTTGGACACGGTATTCTCTTTAAATAGAGACAACAACATACATGAAAGAGTCCAATTTGGTATATCTGCACAGGTATAGACCTCCATGGCTCTGGTCAAGAGACCTGTTTGCCCAGCTCTGGACCCAGGAACCATTTCCTGTCTCGAGCAAAGTAGAAGCACAGCCTGTGCCAACTGGGTGCAAACTGGTCCTTCGTGGATGGATGGCACTGATCTGGTGCCACTGCCTCTCTCTAGATAAATAATCGCCATCCCTACTTCACAGGTTTCATTTCTTCAGATACATCTAGCCCTGACATATCTGCCTTTACATAACTATAAATTAACAGTAAAAACAGAGGTAGAGGGAATGACAAGTCCAACGGAGATCAGTACAGAAACAGCAATGAAATGCTCTGTGAGGGTCTTGGATACTAATCCACAAATTCAGTCTGTTTCGAACTAATTTCATTTCATGTTACCATCCACTCCCTTCTCTCCACACCCCCTCCCACCACCCACTGGCAGCTGCTCTTTTAGATTCTATAATGTCTTTAATTACATCACCATCCACCTCACTGTTAATCTAGAAACCCCATTCATGCCTGATACTTCCTTTATGCCCACCAAATCTCATCAAGGTCATTCCTTTTTAGAACACCCAGGTCCTCTGTCCCATAGCAGTGTCTTAACCCTTGTTACAGCTCTTGTTAATCCCGTAAATCATATCACCATTTAAAAGGGGGCTATGCCATCCTTGATTTAATTGTACTTTTCTATGGTTACCACCTAGGATAAACTTCTTTTTTTTTTTTTAATTTCGGTCATTTCACAATGACATAGTCCTCACAGCAGAATATGATCCTATATACAGAAGAATAGAGCAGTTCACAAGAATTGAAATATTATGACTTACTTCATCCGTTCAAAATCTGTGCAGGTTGTATATATTTTGGTTTCTCCAATCAGCACATCACAGTATGGGCGACATCCGTTTCTCTGTTTGTTAAAGAAGGGGACTGGACTGACAGTGATCGACTTAATTGTGAGAGACTTGAAGTGAGGCTGGTAGGGTTTGTCCGCTAGGAGGTCACACATGTAGCCCAGGTATCTAAAACAGAAGATTTACATTCTGTTGGTGCCCACCGCACCAGAAGAAAGAAACCACTGATCTTTGCTAAGATGTTTGTTTTTGCAAATTACTAACTTATAATAAAAATTTACTATGCTCATTTCTTTAACAAAAGTAGCTAAAGAGAATGCAACCAATAATGTAGGAAAGCTTTTATCTAGTGACACTGCTGTACTTCCCTCAGAGAAGTGATGAAGGGGTATTTATTAAATGCAAAAGGTTAGGGGGAGCTTGATACTGGTTCAAAATTTGAACATCTATTCCTATTTGACCTAGCAGATTAGATTTATCAGTTAAAGGCTGGCATTGAAAAACCTGTAGAATTTTATCATCAGAAGCACTTTTGATCCAAAAGAAAGGTAAGGAGATGCAATTTAAATAAGAGAAAGGATGAAACTGTGACTAAAGAGAAGATAAGTCAATTATCTAAACAGGTTTTTTTTGCATGTGTTTTTTTAAAGGACATGACACCAATTCGATTATGTCTGCGCCTACCCTCCATCTAAGCTTGCTTTACCTCCTGTGGGATGGCGAGAGTCCGATTCCTGGTCGCTTTGCATATAACAATCGAACAGCTGGGCCAGGAGTTGAGTAGAGATTACAGAAAATGAACATAGCACCAACCAGAATTGACGATGCTGCCCGTCCATCCTGCCAAAGAAAATGCATAAACTTGTCATAAACATGGTCCAATCAGCCACTCACCACTGAGACTGGCTGTACTTGCCATTAAAAGAGAGGAATTGGGCCAGGCCAGTGTGGCTCAGTGGTTGAGCATCAACCCATGCACCAAGAGGTCGCTGGTTCAATTATGGGTCAGGACACATCCCAGGGTTGAGAGCTTGATCCCTGGTGGGGAACGTGCAGGAGGCAGCTGATTGATGTTTCTCTCACATTGATGTTTCTTTCTCTCTCTCCCTTCTTCCTTCCTCTCTAAAAAATCAATAAAAACATATTTTTTAAAAAATTAAAAGAAAGAAGAGTTGGGGTGGGGGGAGGGAGAGAGGAGAGAAACCCTTTTAACTAGGCATGCCAGTCAGTTCAAAATTGTTTACTTGAAAAGCAAACTCAGTCCCAGCTACTTAAATCACAAAGCCGAAAGGAGAGACTTATTCTCAGGATAAAATTGGCTCTCTACTAATCTGGGAAAGCCAGCAATATAAATTTGATTTGCATATATTTACTGGAAAATAATCTGATCTTAAAGTAACTTTAGATTTGTGGCATTAGAACTAAGGGTTGAGGTCTTTTGGTTTAGGCCTGGAGGTACAGTTCACAGATTAGGTAATACTGCATTTTGGAATATGCTATGTACAGGGTCTCCAAAAAAATGCATACACACTTTGAATAATTATTCATTCCAATGGGTTAAATCTGAAAAGAAAGAAACATCAATTGAACTATCTGCTATTAAGTGTGTTTACATTTTTGGGGACAATATATATTCCTAGATTCCTATCTATAATAATAAAAGGGTAATATACTAATTAGACCGGACATCTTCCAGACATCCTTCCTGACGAAGCTGGGGTCAGAGGGAAGCCAGCAGGGTCCTGGGTGCCTGCAGGAAGCTGGAGGAAGGAAGCAGTCTGGGTCCCGGGTACCAGAGGGAAGCTGGTGACAGCAACTGGGGGAAGGAAGGCCTACTCTTGCACGAATTTTTGTGCATCGGGCCTCTAGTAAAATCATATAAAAGAAGCTTCACCTGATTCACCTTCATTCGATGGAGGAATGCACACGGTATCCCCCCAAAATATATACACACTGTAACAGCTGATGGCTCAATTTTGAAAATGTATTTTAATAAACACTGTCTTTATAATTATTCAAAGTGTGTATACTTTTTTTTTGGGGGGGGGGACACCCTATATACACTAATATTCTTGACAGATGGTGGCCAACATGTCTTTATAATTAGTCAAAGTGTGTATACTTTTTTTTTGGGGGGGGGGACACCCTATATACACTAATATTCTTGACAGATGGTGGCCAACATCTTCAACCTAGAACCCTGTAAGTGACAGGTAGCTTCCTGCAAGTTGAGGTAGGCCAGTGCAGCTTACAAAGTTTTTCCTTATACTGAATATGCTGAGGTGAAGTCTATGCCACTCGATGATCCTCATTCTTCCTTCTGAGAAGATCAAAAGTCAGCTGACCTCTTTTCCCCATGACAGTCTTCACGTATCTGAGATACCCTCCCTTTCCATCAACACTTCTATTTCCCATCACACCCAGTCTGTGATGGTTCATTTTATGTGTCAATTTGGCCAGGCTAAGGGAGCCCAGAAAGCTGGAAAAACATTATTTCTGGGTGTGTCTATGAGAGTGTTCCTGGAAGAGGTCAGCACTTGAATCAATAGACTCAGGAAAGAGATCTGCCCTCATCAAAAGGGAGGGGTCATCATCCAATCTGTTGAGGGCCCAACAGAACAAAAAGTGAAGGAAGGGCAAATTCTCTCTCTCTTTTTGAGTTGGGACCTCCATCTTCCCCTGCCCTCAGGCATCGGAGCTTCTGGTTTGGGGACCTTCAGACTCCTGGACTTACACCAGCAGCCGCCTTAGTTATGAGGCCTTCAGACACAGACTAATGATACCATTGGCCTTCCTGCTTCTCCAGCTTGCAGGCTGTGGGGCTTCTTGGCCTTCATAACCACACGAGCCAATTCCTATAATAAATTTCATATATGTATTTCTCTTTCTCCATATATATATACCATATATATATATATACACACATATATATACATATACATATATATGTATATATATATACATATATATGGTATATATATATGTATATATATACATATATACATATATATACATATATATATACATATATATATATATATATATATCCATCCCATTGGTTCTGTTTCCCTGGAGAACACTAATACACAATCTCTTCAATTCTTCCTCATTTGATATTCCATTTAAACATATATTTTCATTTATTTCAGAGAGGGAGAGGGGAGGAGAGAGAGAAACATCAATGATGAGAAAGAATCATTGATTGGCTGCCTCCTGCATACCCCACACTAGGGATCAAGCATGAAATCCAGGCATGTGCCCTGACAGAGAATCAAACTGTGACTTCCTGGTTCATAGGTCAACGCTCAACCACTGAGCCACACAAGCCAGGCTGATATTCCATTTAAAGAGACATCATTATTTGGTGTACTTCCTCTGAACAAGACTCCAGTGTGTGTGTGTGTGTGTGTGTGTGTGTGTGTGTGTGTTGTTGTTGTTGTTGACAGTATTACATATGTCCCCCATTCCACCCCCCTTTACCTCCTTCCACCCAGCCTCTACCCCTCCACCTCAGGCCTTCACTCCATTGTCTCTGTTCATGGTTTAAAACAACCTTAAGTGTGCTGCCCAGCTGTGAAATGCATACTATGACATGTGTTCTAAGCAAACTAGAGAGGACACATCATCTTCCTTAGTTCAGATACTGTTTTTATTAACATAACCCCAGGCCAAGCTAGTTTAAATGCAGGCTAAGTCATACCATAAACTCTAATTGAACTTCCTATCTTCTAAAACCCCTAGTTCTTTTTAATTTGTTTTAATAGACAAATATGTTTAATATTTTATTTTAGAAGCCATTTCCTTTTAATTGGCACTTTTTTCTTTTTCTTTTTAAAATATATTTTTTATTGATTTCAGAGAGGAAGAGAGAGTGAGAGAGAAACATCAATGTTGACAGAGAATCATTGATTGGCTGCCTCCTGCAAGCCCCGCCTGGGGATCGAACCTGCAACCTGGCCCTTGATCGAAATTGAACCCAGGATCCTTCAGTCCGCAGGCCCATGTTCTATCCACTGAGCCAAATCGGCTAGGGCTATGGGTTGTGAGCTCTATATCCCCAGTAGGGGGCGTGCAGGAGGCAGCTGATCATCACTGATATTTATATCTCATTGATATTTCTCTCATCATTGATATTTCTATCTCTCTCTCCCTCTCTCTTCCTCTCTGAAATCAATACAAGTATATATTTTTTTAAAAATACAACATTTATCCTGTGTTTAACTTCACATAGTTTGTTAAATGACCAATCTCCAAAAACTTTTAAAATCCAGATTCAATATGTGAATCTCCCATTCTGAGAAAATTGATAAAGCTGATCTCTATATTGCCATAAAAAATGTTAATTAAGCCTGGAAGATGTGACTCAGTGGTTGAACGTCAACATATGAACTTAGGGGTCTCCGGTTCGATTCCCATGCCCGGTTTGCAGGCTCGATTCCCAGTGTGGGGTGTGCAGGAGGCAGCTGATCAATGATTCTCTCTCATCATTGATATTTCTCTCTCTCTCTCCCTCTCCCTTCCTCTCTGAAACCAATCAAAGTTAATCAAAAGGGCAACCAAATGCAACCTTGGGAAGCTGCAGACCCACTAGCCATCTACCTTTGGAAGCAGATATTCAACCATGATTTCACTAAATGTGTAACAACCTTGTCCAAGTTTCTCCACCTGATTACAAGAAACTGGTCAATATCTTGCAGAAATCCAATAAACTATCTCTACTAATGTATTAGTCTTTTTGAAAAATATTCAGGTGGTTTGATATGTGTGTTCATAACGAATAACTTTTTGGTGTTTTTCTAAGAGTTAAAAGTCATCTGTGCAAAAAATATGTGTGCAAAAATTTATGTGAAAATTTTGCCTGAATTGCCATCAGCCTCACCAGATGTAACTTTCCAGGATTAACCTCCACTGTCTTTTAGAAGCAATCTCTCCTTGCTTGCCTGGCACCTCTTCTTCCAATTTCCTCATATTACATAACGGATCCATAATTGCTTTCCCTGTGCTGTCGGCATTCTGTCCCATAATTGAAGTCTAGAGAGTGGGTATTGTTCAGTATTGTGAAGCTCTTTTACTATCTCACTACCTATCAGCTTTGTCTTAATTACTGCTACACCCTTTCTTGCTTGACATTTGTTCGCTGATAAAGGAACAGCATAAAGGAGTTAAGATAAGATGATACCATGTGCCTCAAGCCTTTATTGTTGTCCTTATTCCAAGGACATTTTTCTTTAAAAAATACACTTTTCTCAATCTTAATTCTTTTTAAGATTTAGTTCTCCAGACACTCTTTTCATATGTTCTAGGTGCTTAGATATGGGTCCCTCCTTTTATTTGCCATGCTGGTCTTTTAAAAATTTTTATTAGTTTTTATATTAAAAGTTAAGTATTTGAAGCGGAAATATTCTTTCTGCTTTTTTCCCTCTTAGCCAAATGGCTTTCAAGAATAAAAGGGAGAATCACTAAGTAAAATCATAGTACAAATATATAGACCCTGAAGTTTATAGAAGCAATGAATATTTCCAATATTTATGCTCAGATTCCATTTGTGTGTTCATTTGCTTATATTGTCAGCCATTTATTCAAAATCCTTTATATTTGGGGTGCAAAGAAAGACACAGTTCTTGCATGTAAGGTACTCATGGTCAAGTGCGAGTTCACCAATATGATGATGCAATGCATGAACTGCCACAGAAGCACTTAGAGATATAGGGGAAATGTCCATATTGTGAAAATACTCAAAATGACTTTATTGGAAGTTGAGTTTTAAACAATAGGTAAGAGGCCTCTGGAAAAAAAAGGGCTAGAAAATGGACTGTATAAAGTCAGTGGTCAGCAAAGACATCAGTCCCACCGGGAAGTGCTGTAAAACACAGTCAATATTTTCTGTGACTACTTACAAGAGCATAGGTGTCATTTTATTTCATTTTTATTCAAACACAAAAAGTAAGGAAAGCACAAGAAAGACAGTCAATGACATTGTTACCTGTGCACCCACAGCTCTTGCTTCTACCTCTTTGGTAATACTTAGCACATTTTAGAGGCTCTAAATGATGCGGGCTGTGTACATGTCTGCCTCTCCCACTAATACTCAAATTTTAAGGCAAGAATAATAAGGTCATCCCTCATTTTCGTATACCTCAGATCACCAAATTCCTAAGTAGGATCCCAGTAAATGATAATTCAACTTAAATGTTACCTGCTCATCAGTCTGCATAGGGCAAGCTGTATTTGACCGAACTATACCAAATAACTGCAGACAATGACAACAATAAAGGTTACTCACCAAGCAGTGGACAACACAGACGTTTTTGGGATTCTGCAGTAGCCAGTTATACATGTTCCGACACACAGCAAAGAGGTTGTGCAGACTGGGGGCTTGCCTAATGGGCCAACTGCATTCTGAAACCTAAGGGAACACAGCAAAAGGAAATGAATTCCCTTAGTGACTTCCTCTTCAACAGGACGCCAAACAACTGCTTCTGGGAGTGATACTCTATCCTCAGGAACAACTGAGAATGGAAGAAGAGTTACTTAATCCAGCAATTTTTTCATTAAAAAATTCTGTTTCTATAAGGGTAGGAAAACACATTTTAAAATACATTTTAAATTCAGCGAGATCACTTAAACTATATATTTGGATTTTATTTTTATTCTGTAAGGTTACCCAAATTTTTATTTCAATTAACAATAATTATGCCTCAGATATACCTCACTGGCTATAATACTACCCACTGCACAAAGCTCTAAATTTAATGTCTGTTAAGTATAAAATGTTTTTACCTGCCTAGCAGATGTTTAATTATAGGTTTATCTTATAAATCCTGCACTGTTCCTAATTTTATACCAGCTCTCAGGAGCACATGAAAGTGAGCCAAACCTTGTTCAGGGCTCTTATTTCTTCCCTCTTAATGAAGGGACTCACAACACCACGGGGCCAACCTCCAACATTTTATTCATCTAACACACATATTCATTTAACATATCCTATTGCATGTCAATTGTAATTGAAACAGTCATAGAGCCCCGACTGTGTTCTGCTTGGCTCTATTCTAATCTAATCAGCAACCATTTGAGAGAGGTATTGATATGATCCCCATTTTGCAGATGAGAAGACTCACTCTCAGAGGTTGTCTTGTCTAAAATCACGCTGCTGGTCAGTACCAGCACTGCAATTTGGTTTTCTGACTATAAATCATTGTACTGCTGCAGTACACTGGTTGAGATGACTGTTTCCCTCAAAATACTAGACATCAGCCTCAACTGATTAGATATTCACTAATTCAATAAATAATAAAGAGAAGCTTAGACTTGGGCAACCTTTGTGACCTCTTTAAGCGTTTCTTTGTGAAATGTGGTAAATGATACCTACCTACCTATCTGACAGGGTTGTGGGTACTACATGAGAATGTATTTCAAGGGCTTAGCTCAGCATATGACACACACAGCGTGATCAATAAATATAGCTATTACTATTATTGTATCCGGTAACTGCCAGTTCAAAGCCCTGAGGTCAGACAGAGCCAAAACTGTTTTTTGGGAAAAAATGAATGAAAACCTGTATGGTGAGAGTGTAAACTGAAGGGGATCAGGCCTTGTTAGGAGCTGGGTAAAGTAAGAGAGTGATGCTCAGATCTGCATTTTTCCAAAGAACCCTCAAGATCCAGTATTAGGCCCTGGCCGGTTTGGCTCAGTGGATAAAGCGTCGGCCTGTGGACTGAAAGGTCCCAGGTGCGATTCCAGCCAAGGGCATGTGCCGTGGTTGCGGGCACATCCCCAGTAAGGGGTGTGCAGGAGGCAGCTGATCGATGTTTCTCTCATTGATGTTTCTAACTCTCTATCCCTCTCTCTTCCTTTCTGTGAAAAATCAATAATATATATATTTTTAAAAAGATCCAGTATTAGTAATGGATATGAATGACATGAGAATAGTCAGAGAGATCAGTGAGGAGGCTGCTGAGAAGTCTAAGGAAGGGATGGTGGGGGCTTAGGCCTAGACGTGTAGCAGCGGGGTGCAATCCTGAGGGATTAAGGAGTAAAGAGGAAGTGGAATACCTATACATGAGAGTAGGTGATGGATCCCATGGTGGCGGTGCATGAGTGAGGAGGGGTGTACTTAAAAGAGAGATGGGAGAGTCAGGGATGACTCCAGGCTTCCAGCGTGAATGGCTGGATAAAAGAATGGAAGCAGGTGCCATTTGCTGATGTAGGGAATTCTGAAGAAAGAGCAGGTTTTGTGTGGATGCTGTCATCAGAAAGTGCTCTACAACACGAACACCACTGGCCTAAGAAAACCCAAATGTTTCAAACTCCTAATATTTAACAGTGGAGCAACGGAAGTAGGAGCAATCTGTTTGGTTTGCTAGGGCTCCCAGATAATACTTTTAAACCTTTCAGAAACTGTATGTCACCCACACAAACACTGTTACTATCTATAATGAGTCTCAGCCAAAAGTTACCAAATTGTTCTTAGCACAATAGACAGCTCCAGAACAATTAAATCAATCAAGTAAATAATATTAATTTAAAGTGCTCTATAATTACATATTTACTTGATATATAATTGTACATCATTAGGCAAACATACAATTAGAATTTTTTAAAGCATGTGCTCTGTCTAAAGGGGAAAAAATCATTAAGGCATAAACAAACCCTAAACATTCTAAAAAGGAATTCAGTCACTACAAGCTATTTTCCCCTCTCTCTCTCCCTCCCCCCCCATTTCTTTCTCTCTCTCTCTCTCTCTCTCTCTCTCTCTCTCTCTCTCTCTCTCTCTCCCTGTCTCGTTCACAGTTTCATGCCTGCCGTGAGCACCACTGTCCTAGGGCAGGTGACACTTCACTGTGCCATCTCCAGTCCCTTTGAGCACCTCCCGGAGCTGCAGGGCACAGAACACACCATATGGATTACAAGGCTGCCATGATGTCACCCAGTGGGGAAAGAAGCCAAAACAGAACCCGGGCTGGATGCCATTCAATGTTCATCTGTCTGTCGCCCCAAGCACAAGATAAGACGGCACAAGCACCCACCTTGCTGAGCATTTAGAGCAAAAGGTGCTATGGAAAATCAGACTGAAGAGCCATATCAAGTGTTTTCAGAATCTGAAACCATTTTTGGAGGACAGGGGTATTTCAGTCAACCATTTATTGTGGCATTTTATTATTATCCGTGCTAATCATGGCTACCACTTACTGAATGCTTACTCTATGGCAGGCACTGCTGTCAGATCTCCTTCTTAACACATTTCGTACCGCTCAGTTTTCTCGTGTTTTGCATGCCATCTGTTAAGGACCGCTCACGAGTGCTCTCGTTTTTTCACGCCCATGGAAAAAGGAGCGAATCTAGATACTTATGTAAATTTTGTTTGGTCCTTCTTCACAGAGGAAAATGTTTTACGCAGTACCACACGTTAAAAAAGTACTAGGAACTTTAATTGTTTTATTGTTTAATTGTTTTTGTAAATAAAAATGTTATAATTATTGAAAAACAACACCTAAAGTGCATTATGATTTAAATAACGTGCAGTTTGCCCAAAAATGTGCGGTCCCTGGTGTATGTCTTAGAGATGTCTATGCGGTACGCAATGTGTTAAGCAAACCTAGAGAAAATGTCCTAAGTATTAGTGAGCCAGGTATTCTTATTGTCATCCCCATTTTACAGAGGAGAACACTGAGTCTCAAGTGCAGTAGAGTAACTTGCCCAGGAAGAGGAACAGCTGAGATAGGAACCTAGGGACATTTAAATTTGTGCATGTTATAAAAACAGTAAATTTGGGAGCTTTCTATTATACCACACTATCTAACGAATATTTACTACAATCCCATCATACATTTGTGGGGTTTCATGTAATGGCCACAATTTACTAGGGTTAAGACATTCAAGTCACCGAAGTTGACAGAGCTACGATGTGGGGATCCACAGCCCTCTGGCTCCCAGGCCGGGGATTTCTTTCTACCCCTTTACTCCCCATCCTTGCACTGAGGCATGGTGACAGCGGGAAAGATGAGGCATCACTGCTCTATGGCTGAGCCCCCTCACCAACCAGCAAACCAAAGCAGAAACACTGGGGAACTTATGTGAACTCTGGAAGAAAAAGGGGAAAAGGGGCTCACCTGCAAACAATCATGACCTCTTAAAGAAGCCCACATTGTTAATATATTTTCAAAAAATCAAGTCATTCCCCAAAGGGAAGAAATCCTACAAGAACACGAGATTTGGAAAAAGTCAACATGAAGGGAGAGTCTAAAAGAATCAGCTGGGGTTCTTTTTAAAAAAATTGATTTCATAGAGGAAGGGAGAAGTAGAAACATCAATGATGAGAGAGAATCACTGATCGGCTGCCTCCTACAACGCCCCCCTCCCCCCGCCCTTTACTGGGGATCAAGCCCACAACCAGGCATGTGCCCTGATGGGGAATCAAACCATAACCTCCTGGTTCATAGGTGGACGCTCAACTACTGAGCACACCAGCCAGCCAATGGGGTTCTTTATTCTATGCTACCAACAGCACACCTTCCTTCCTGCAGAGGGAGAAGGAAGCTCAAAGAGGCACTGAAATGCCTTAGTCAGACATTAGAACTTTAGAGCCAGGCTAGGTTTGGTGGCCATTCATCCCACTTTCCATTTATTGACAAGAGCATAGAAACAGCTTGTCTTTGCCACCACTACCCGTATCCCCAAGCACATATCACATACTACAAATGTAAAGTAACTGAGTTCAGCAATAAAGACAGAGCAGGACTCCTGTGAGTCTATAAATAAAACCAGCCTTCTATTTACTCTTTTCCAACACTGGCTATTTATGGAACACTCTGCCATATACACTTATTAAAATAATATTTAACTGCAGACCTAGCCCTCCACTGATCTGAAAGGAGGAGGAAATGGTTTCAGTTCATGGACTGGAAGATGAGAAGTAATGCAACAATGAGACGCAAACCAATGCATAGTGTTAGTACTGAGGAGAGAAAGAACTAGGAGCTTCAAAAAAAGCCACATCAGAAACAGAGCTAAGATGAATAGGCCCAGGATTTGGGACTGTCTCCCTGAGGCTTGCAGGAGCTTCGCCAGAGGGTCTATCTATTCGGCAGAGTTCTGGGACTATCTGCAAAGGGCTAAGGTGTCATGCATTCCTGTGTTTTAGGGAGAAAGGATTGGAAAAGCTTTGTGGAAATCCTCCCCTTAGTGAAGTTAGATAAACAAGGAAGGGGTGGGGGCGGTGTGACAATGGATGGCTTTTTAGGGAGAGAGAGCAGCTCATGCAGAGATGGTGTGTGTGTTCCCTGGTTGGAGCCTGGGTGTTCTGGGCATAAGAACAGTGAAAGATGAAGCCAGAGAGGCAGGCAGAGGCCAGATCATGAAGAACCTTGTAAGACACATTCTACAATTTGCATGGAAAAGAAATAACACCAGCCCTAGCTGGTTTGGCTTAGTGGATAGAGCATTGGCCTGCAGACTGAAGGGTTCAATTCCGGTAAAGGGTATATGCCTGGCTTGTAGGCTTGACCCCCAGTAGGGGGCATGCAGGAGGAAGCTGATCAATGATTCTCTCTGATCATTGATGTTTCTATCTCTCTCTTCCTTTCCGAAATCAATAAAAATATATTTTAAAAAATAGAAATACCACCACACCTTTCACCTATACAAGACTTACTAATGCTTCAAGGTCCAGCTCTCACTCCTATCTCCCTTCGCTAATCTCCCTCAGTGGGTACTGTACATATTATTTGCAGTTGTCTTTAGAATGTCTTGGATTCTCTCTCAAACTAGGCTTAGGTGCCTTGGGAACAAGAACCAAATATTTATTTTATATCTATGTGTTTAACAGTCCTTGACACATTCATTTGTCTGAGAAATGTTTAGCCATTCCAGGCACTATTCTAGGTATCAAATCAAATAAACATGCTTCTTGCCCTTTTAAGGCAAGTGAGAGCTAGCAGCCTGTGGCAGTTTTAAGTCAATGTGTAATTAATTCCTGGTTCCTTTGGTAAGATTGTTGAGATTGGTCACAAAATACATAGCTACGCTGATAGCTTTCTTTAAATATCTGTATCGTGACTGCTTTTATAAATACTACCCAAAGAGACATCTTCATATGAATGAATGCTTCTATAATGGTATTATATTTTTATTTACTTTCAGAAGGAAAATATTCCAGACTATCACAAATCTTTTCAGATCAAATAAAATTTCTATGAAGTATTGTGCAGGATGTTCCACAGCCCCTTTGCTTTAAAAATGATGGCACTGACTTTGTCTCCAAACAAGAAAAAAAATCAATTCAAAAGATTTGCATCTGAGGAAGAAACAGAGTATCCACCCGCATCTTGTTTGACGTCACTTGCTCTGCATTAGGTAATAGATGGACTAAGAGTTGGAAGGGCAGTTAAGTATAGAGAATTTGAAGGAGCGGCACTTAAACTCTCCATTAGAGAATGCCAGTTTAGAACAAACCACTTCAGAGTGGCTTCATTAGCGCTTCTCAGAGTGGTCCCCATGGCAACAGAGGAGTAGCACCAGGAAGTTGTTAGCGATGCAGAATCTCGCTGAACCTCTGTCATGCTGAATATGCAGTGCTGGGCCTGGGTGTTTACCAAGCCCTCCAGGTGACTGATGTACGCTAAAGTTTGAGGACCTCTGGGTTACCTCTTGCTATTTGGAGAACAATCTGAGAAGACAGAGTCCTTAACAAAACTCTCCCTTTTCATATTGCACATTGGGGCAGGAATCTTAGAAAACATGCAGATCAACCTCAGATCTGGAAACGGAGGCCCAGACATGATCAATGGCAACTGAGATTTGGAGCATAACATGTTCTGGCATCAAATCTGAGGTGCTAGATACACAGCATAGACCATCAGCTACCATCTTAAATACGAGAAGTCAAGTTTCCGTTTTAAAGGGTCCAATGTATAGAAAACCCTTCCTATTTATTACGAGACCCAAATGGAGTTGCAGAAACAATCATATCTAAAGGCTAAGTCAAAATAGCTGAAGATGTTCTTGAGAGAGAAAAAGCCTTATCTTGGTGAGTAAATCAAGAATTCAGGGACAGAAGGAGACTAGGCTTTGGGTGGTGCACACACAATGATGTATTCCAGGATTGTACACTTGAAACTTATGTAAAGTTATAATGTTATCCCAATAAATGTAATTTAAAACAAAAAGAATTCAGCGACCAGGAATACCAGGCTTGATATTAGATTCAAACCCAAGCCAGCTCTCATAGCCCTTGAATGAGGAATATTTCGCAGCCTATTTGCAAAAGCTCCTTTAGAAGACAATCCAGCTTTCCCAGGTAACAGTGTCAGTCCTAATGGTGTGGTCTTGGGGAAGTTACCTTACCTCTTTGTGCCTTTGTTTCTCCATCTACTTCAGAGGGCTGTTAAGAGAATGTAATGAGATACTGCCTGTCAAGTCCCCAGCGCGGTGTACACACTCTGTAAGTGTTGGCTGCTGCACTCACTCCTATTAATATTAGTAATAGGATTACCAAACCTACAATGTAGCCTATTTATGTGCTTTCTTCACTTCTGAAAGAAGCAATTTTACTGAATGTCAGCAGGCCATTCCCATTAATACTAGTATGTCTGTACTGGTCTAGCTACTCTGTCTCATCGCGATGCCCAGGTAGCAATAAGGACAGGTAAAGGCATGATGAGTGTTGTAGTATAAAGGTAGCCAAATGCTCTATGTAGCAGTTCAAGCTCCAACTGAGCCTCACAGCAACGCACCCTAACAATTGAGCAACAACCACAACTGGTGTGATGCCCCAACGTAGATGGTATTTCATTGACAGATAAATAAATATCTTCACTCAAAAAAAAAATCTTCAGAATATATCATTAAAGCCTAATAAATATTTTGTGGCTAGAAATGTGTGCAGTGTATCGTTTTTCAGCTTCATGACAAAGGCTTTGAGGATAGCTCTTAAGAGGAGAAATACCCTGTTATGTCTTCAACCATGCAATCCTAGAGCGAACTTCCTTACCCTGCTGTGAAACTTGGCAGTTCGATAGGACTTGGGCGACAGATTGTACACCGTGTAGTGGTCAAGATGTCTGGAATCCAAAAAGCTCCGAATGTCATCAACCTGATTCCTGAATCCTATGTCAACGTTGTCCAGAGGAAAGGACATCACTGGAGGGTCACACAGAAAGAAGGCAGGTTAGACAGCTCGGTTGTGGTGATGAGCAGCAATTGAAAGCTGAGTCTGAGCAGTGAAGACACATGAGAAACTTACCAATAATTCTGGAGGTGACATAAGTGAAGTCTAAATCTCCCTTCGTGTAGCTAAAAGCAAGACAAGGAAGGGCACTCATTAAAATGATCTACAGATGCCTCTGCTGCTCCATCTCAATCACTTTCGCATCATCACCGGGGACACTGCCCTATTCTGACTTCCCTCGAGCCTTCTCTCCAACAAGGGAGCCTTGTTAAGAGAAGGCAGCCCACACCCTCAGTAGCTTAAATGCACTGCTCCAACCTGTGCACCCCAGAGTCTTCACAAACAGATGCCACTTTATGAACAGAATCCACTCAGAAAACAGTGCTTACTTATTAACAAGCATTGTTCCAGGCTCTCTGCCTACAGGGAAATATCACCCATAGGTGTCAGGGGAGGAAGTGATGGAGAAAGAACAAAGGACATTCTTTTTCTGCCTACCATGCCCTGGCTGAGGGTTGGAGGGAAGGGTAAGTTCTACCTTTAAACAAAGATTAAAATTTGGACTTAATATCTGAATTTCCATTAATCCTCATCTGATGATATTTTTCCATTGATTTTTAGAGAGGGGGGACAGGAGACAGAGAGAGAGAGAGTAACATCAATCGCTTGGTTGCCTCCCGCACGTGCCCCGGGGCCAGGGATCGAGCCTACAAGCAGGGTATGAAATCGAACCCAGGACACTTCAGTCCACAGGATGATGCTCTATCCACTGGACCAAACTGGCCAAGACTGGACTCGACATTTGAATTTCTGATTTAAAACTGCACACTGTAACTTAAAGTGACCCTAAAACTTTCTAATAACTAAGAATAAAAAAAATTCATATGTCTGCTTGTAGAATTTTCATACAGTGAAAGAATAGAAAACTTCTCCCAGTAAATAAATTCTAAAGGGCTATTAAGATACAAGAACAAAATTCTGTTTTGATTGCAATACATGAGTATTATTTATTCAGATTGTATAGACATAATTACCTCATTTAATTCTCAAACACCCAAAGGCACAAATCCTACCAGGGTATAAAAGTAAAGCTCAAAGAGGTTAATGAAGTTGCTTTAGGTCACATGGTTAACCAGAGCAGATAATGCACTAGAACTCAGGCTGCTGGGTTCGAAGGCCAGGAATGACAACCCACTGTGCTCTCATGTACCAGTGAGCTGAGGCCTCCCAGCCTGTGGTTGTAGCCACTTTATGGCTTTGGTGACACTGCTCAGTCAATCAGATCCCATGAAATTACATCACAAAACTGCTAGTCTTTGAGCCAGACAAACAGTTGACAGGTAACCAGATCCTTTGGAGCCACGAAGGTCCATTAACTCAACCAGGAAGAACACACATACCTGGTAACAGATTGTATAACTCTGGAAGATGTGTCTTTGAGGGTGTCTTTCAGGTTGTCCTTTAGGTTACTGAAGAGCCTGCCTGCACCTCCTTTCACCATGTCAAAGAGGCCTCCCCCATAGCTGGGCTCCATGTCTGGGGACGAGGCACCTGCCAATGAGAAACAGAAAAGGAGCTGACGGCACAGACCACACAGAAAACCAACCCCTCTTTGATCCTGAGACATG